CATCCATCCATCCATCCATCCATCCATCCATCCATCCATCCATCCATCCATTCATCCATCCATCCATCCATCCATCCATTTATTTTAGATAATAAATTGGACAGTCTTTTTGACATTTTGATCACTGTTATTCTGACTAATTAGTGTCGTTGTTGATACGTGATGTAATGTGAATAACATACATCAAACATTTCACTCGCATTTATTTATTTATTTTTACTGTAAGCTTATCTATTATGTCTGACATGTTATGCACCACATAGGGGTCACCGGTGGCCACACAGCAGGTGCTATCCATCCATCCATACATACATACATTATCTTTACCCGCTTATTCCATTTTGGGTCACGGGGGTCGCCGGTGACCATGTCCAGCAATCACTGTGCGAGGGGCGGGGTACACCCTGGACGGGTCGCAAGTCCATCACAAGGCCACGTAGAGACAAACGAGACAAACAACCATTCACTCTCTCATTCACACCTAGGGACAATTTAGAGTTACCAATCAGCCTAACGTGCATGTTTTTGGTCTGTGGGAGGAAACCGGAGCACCCAGAGAAAACCCACGCATGCACGGAGAGAACATGCAAACTCCACCCAGAAAGGCCCCTGGACCGGGGTTTGAACCAAGGACTTGCTCGCTGAGAGGCAGCAGCTCTACCAGTTGCGCCACCGTGCTGCCCCAGCAGGTGCTAAATAATTTATTTTAAATTAAAAAATCCATTCTGATTGTGGCACTCATTCAACAATCAGCCAATTGTGTGTCATGTCCAATCCTATTTTGAAAAACTGCAATAGAGTGAGTCCGAGATAAACGAACCGCGAAGTAATGAGGGACTACTGTATTCTTCAAAGATTTAAGGGATTTAATATCTGCAACAGGTAAGATGTTATTTGCTCAAAAGTTTTCCAGAGATTCCTGTTGTATGTTTTTTAAGTGTTTCACGACTAACTGTCCCTTGAATCTGTCACTTGTCCACCTGAACCGACACAGTCTCACAGTACACGACTCAGTGTCTGCGTTGTCTCTGAGGTGTGCAGAGGAGGTGGTGACAATAATGCTGGCTGTGTTGCATCTGGTGTATAAAGGCAGCAGTTTTCAGCGTTGCATTGAGTCACTATTTACTCCAATAAGTCCAGATGTGTTCACAAGGGGTGCTATCTGGTATCATTCATTGAGCATAAAGCATGTACTGTATTTGAAGTCAGGGGTTGTGTTGCTTTTTGATCAGTGTCAGGACTCCCTGTAGAAATTTAAAGCAGCACACACACTTCAGTTTTCAAAACAGCATCATGACCTCCAGATCTTACATTATCAGTCTGCATACAATCTGAAGTGAACAATAACTCAGATTTTTGGTTGAATACATCTCAACTTGTTTCACTTGCCGACTCAACTTCCCTGACATGATTTTAACTGTGAAACATGCTAAATGAACAAGTCAGTCATGTTTTTTGCACAAGATTTCAAAACATTTTTACCAAGTTCAAGCGATCATGTGGTCACATGGTTTTCCTTGGTGTATTCTGTGTAAGTGAAGCAGCAGAAACACTAAATTATATTTTATTTTGTTTGATTAGATAATAAAAAAACAAAACAAAAAAAAACAATCAGGAACTGTCCAGAGGACCTGAATTAACTTTGCTGGATTTTTTTACCTGAATTGTTGAGCATGAACTTTGATGTTTTGAACCACTTCGGCCATGGCTGCCTCAGAGGAGTCGACGGGGTAGAGGGAGGACTCCAGAAACCATCTTATCACCATTAAACTGGTTGGCCCACTATGTGAGCATGCTGCTTGTGGGACTGAGTTTGTTGTGGCTCTTCGGACTGATGAAGAATGAAACGTTTCAACACAAAAAAGAAAGAAAGAAACCTTCCAGATAGCATTACATAACTTTGTTGTATCAACCAGAACTTATTTTTAAATATATTTTATTACTAATAAAAGCATGCTGCTTCTTTCTCAATAAATTCCAGCACAACCTGAAGCTCACTGGATGTAATGAAGTGGACGTGCTCATTTTGTTGTGCAGTTTTGTGTAATGTGATCCTGAATGGGCAGGGAGACCCAGGCGACTAAATGCATCCTATTTTCCTGCCTCTTCTTCTTCTGGCTTCTTCCTACGCATGAAAGCTCTCAGTCAGCTGTACTTTATACTCTTGTGGTCGGGTCAGTTGTGAAAAACAGGCTTGCCCTCAGTTTAAAGACTTTTCCAAGGTCTGGTTTTGTGAAACGGTCAAAGTTTCTTTTAATTTATTATTTTGTATTAAACTTGATTTAGTTTTGTCTTAAGGAGATATCTATAGCTTTTATAATGTTATAAATAAATAAAGTTTCATTTTTGTGACTCAGCGTCTCAGCACTAATAAGCACACAGAGGATGAATACCAACATTTAGCCCTCTGGATTATAGACATGGTGGGTGGTAGACTTTAGTCAACATAATAACTGAGCTAAATTTTGTGCATGTTATATTTTATTCCCCAAGAGAATGATGTCTTTATTTCCTAATTACAATAAAATTTAATACTAACATATGACTTTATTATTGTTGAAGGTTTAGATAAAAACGAAGGGACTTGTTTATTATGCACAGTTTGTTACAAAAGTATTTATAAACCCACAAAAAATTTCAAATTAATAAAGTTGAACTAAAAGATACTTGTTTATATAATTCTAAAAAAAATTAATCCAACTGAAATGTGCTGCGTTCATATAGTCACCTTTTTTGCTTTGAAGCACAAACTTTATTATAAGAAGAAAAATAATTGTTTTGGTTTGGCAGGAGATTTAAACCTAGATTACATACAGGACTCGATGAGCTCACAAACACAAACTTACTTTTAATATTGTATTATTTATTAATGGCTAATGAGATAGCAAAAAACTTGCACAAGGAGAATTGCGAAGAAACAAACAAAGGGTGGCATCAAAATCAATTCTCTGCTGAAGATGATGGGATTGCTGACTGAAAACCGTATTTTTTTGCCATGTAAGTCACAGTTTTTTGCATAATTTGCATGCTCTGTGACTTATACACTGAAGCAACGTATTTATGGATTTTTTTCCATATTTATAAACCATTTTTTGGCTGAGATATGACTGTTTTCATTCATTC